TCATATTTTCTCTATATGGTGATTTCTAAAATTGACGACTTACAGTGCATATGCCCAAGTTAGGACTTGAATTCATGGGTACATTTTATTACTAGTTCTAGTAATACACTTAAAGCTTACCTCCAGTGCATTTCCAGCCGGGCTTCGATGCTTTTCAAAACCATCGACCTCATGCCACTCATCAGGGAAAAAAATTCTTCATTGATAATTCCAAGGCTCTGAGCAACACTGGCGTTTTGAGTTGACATATAGATGATCTGTGACTTGGGATCAAGACCAGGCCAACACTTCGTCAGCTTCTTGATCACGTGATTCTGGACCTCTTTTACTTCTTTCTCTGGAACTTGGTCCCATTTGTTGCACACGAACAAAGCACACCGGGATGAGACAGAGTCTTTCTGTCCTTCAAGAGTCACCTTCCTTACTTCTTCCAGCAATTTTGCAAGCTGCAAATCAAAAGTAACATGACTTAAGACGGTCTTATAAATAAAAAATATCTATATATATAAAGCAACTCCGTGGGACAGTTTTGGTACCACGTTAAAGCACTTCGCAGGCAATATGCACATGAATATCCTATAAAGCATGTTTGATTTATTCGAAAAAGTCTATAAATGTTATTAAGTGAACTCAAAGTTTCAAGGGAACCGTTGAAAATACCTTAGAAACTTGGTTTCCTGTTTCCTGTTTTAGAACTGATTTATCAATATTTTTTTCTTTGTTTATCGCTACCCACCCCCTCCGCTTTCCAATTGGTGTTAAGTTTAGCCCAGGCTACACTCGTCTCAATTTCAGTTCGCGCGGTGATTCTCAGAAGGAGCCGACCGATTAGCGTTCTATAACTGCTGTCTAAAAGAAGTCTGCCCGAGGACATCATTATGTCCAATAAAGTCTAACGATTTGCTAGCAAGCGTCGTCCATTATCGTACAAGAAAGGACCCTGAGATGTGCTAAAACGGGACGTCATTTAGCCCCGTAATAGTACGCCGTTTGCACTGTGACGATAATGTTGTGCTTGCTTTAGACAGCAAAAAGCTTTAGCCACATCAATTAGGGCTTAGACTTGCAATGGACTAGACATTTCTAGCTGCTGTTGGCGTTATTTGGTCTGAACTTTGATGTGGCTAAAGACTCGATAAAATTCAAGTACATCCAGGACATTGCTATTTGCGAGCAAAACATGGCCACGAGCAGAGTGAAGGAAATCACGTCAAAGGCTGATCCATGGTGAGTAACTTTCGTCAATTTTAGGCGTTTTCCGCCTAGCTATATAACTATCAGAAATGTTTCTGATTCGTTAGCGCGGAAGAGATTTATTTGTGTGGCTTCTGGTCGATAATTGACGTACTGACATCATGCCGAGTGTTCGCTTACTCATCATTATGGCATAGTTTGTTTGAAGTTCAATCGATTCTCGATGTAGGAAGTTCTTGTTTAGTCCATATAGGACGATGCAGGCCTATAGAAAGTTACAGTTAAGCTTTCCGGAGCGGTTTTGATATCTGCACGTTTGTGTTTATTTAGACTCGAATTTCATGTTGGAGCACTCTTAACTAAATTGAACAATTCATGATTCAACGAATGGACGTTGATTTAGTCTTCCTGGCCTCAAAAATCATGCAAGAGAGTTACTTCCGTTTAGGACAGAATTGTATCAAGATTTTCAGTGACAAGTCAAATTCTGTGGCTATGTTTTTACAAATACAGACAGATATATATATGCCGATTTGAGAAAGTCATAATACCATAACTTGAGTCATAAATTAAGGGTGCCTGTTCTGTTGCATAGCAACAAACTTGACCCACTTTTTACCATCAATTACGTCTATCTTAAAAACTAATACGGTGATCCCATATTTTTTTTTTTATAAAAATTGTTTTATTACACACAGAAGAAGAAACAGAGAAAACGATAAAAAATTCTGTGGAGTAGATTTTGCTTAAATTAAAAAAAAATGGAAATTTCCAAGTTGGAAAAATTTTAAAAATTTCGCACATACATTCCGCTCTTGTTGTTTAATAATTTTTTGCATTAAAAAAGTAGGGTCACCAGATCAGTTTTTGAGATATTAGCTTCGTGGATAAGGAATTTTTCACGCGCGTCCTACGCGTAAATTAAAATCTCGACTTTGCAATATCGCACTTAGCGCACGCGTGAAGGCGGTCCGCTGTTCAGTAAAGCCCGCAATTCCACGCGAATAAACGCGAATACCCGCTGTTGTCGTCAGCAGCATAAGCGGTAGAAGAAGAGTACCGTAAAAGGCACTGTAAAAGAACGAAGAAAACCTGAAGAGTAGTTTTTCCTGCTGTTTTTAGATTGACAGCCGGCGTGATCGATTGAAACCTCAACATCACAATTTCCGTTTACGTTTCAGCACAGCGGTTTAAAAGAATGCTTTTTTCCTTTGCGATTGCCGGAAGGATGGATGTTTTCGAAGGTAAAAATAAGCGATATCGCAAACAGCTCACTAAACGTAGCGGAAACAAAGTTTTACGAAGTAGGCCTCGCACTGCCATGTTCGCTGTGAGTTTTGCAAACATTAAATCTCTCGCGCTATCTGGCGACCCCTCGCGTGATCGCGTGATGCCTCGTGCTAAAGTGCGCGTTAGAAATATTACTGTTTTGAGCCACCTTAAATCCAAAGGCAATACTTACTCTGTCTTTCTGAACTCCTCCCGCGTTTGCACTGTTTATGACGTAAATGAAGGCAAAGGCTTCTGGTAAATAGTGTGTGACTACTTCGTCCATGATTTCAGACTCGCCAATACCCGGACTATCAATTATAACCACGCCTTTCTGAAATATGGAGAATAGAATCGTGAGCAGCCATGTTTTCAATTATTCTGCGAAGCACGTTGGTACAGGTGCATACGAGATGATCAGCCAAATGAGTAGATTATTACAAACTTAGAATGATTTCACTGTTTCTATGTTTAGTTTTTCCTTATAAGGTTTATTTGAATTATGTTACATTTTTAATTAGGTTATTCAGGTGCTGATGAGATGTTTTGACAGTTAGCTGGAGCAAAGGGGCGCCACTGAACCGGTTTGCTTTGTCCGGTCCTTGGCATATACTTTATTTTACTTATATAACTGATGAGAAAGGTCCAACACGTTTAATGTTACGTCACTAATAAGTACCTTCAAAAGTTCGTGGGGCCAAAAGAGTTCAACTTTTTTGTAAATTGAACCTTTTTCTCGCTCACCCTTCACGTGAACATAGGGAGAGATCTGCTGAAGATAACTTTGTTCAGAGGATGCCGCCTTTAGAGGGACCTCCTTAATTGAAGGCCCGGTTTCAGGATTCTCGTTTTTAAAGTGGGCCACGATTCTGGGTTGCTCTCCATATCTCAATTCGCATATGGTGGACGTTGTGCTGAGAAGGGAATATGGAAGAAGTTCTTCTCCTAGAATAAGGTTGACCAAGCTGCTTTTTCCAGAGCCTGTCTCACCTTTAAATGAATAAACCGTGAATTTATTAGTTTTTCTTCATAGTCTTCTTAGACCTCATCAAAATATCATAAGAAATCAAAATGGCGTTTCTCCGAAATTCAAGAAATGATTGTGTAGTGTCTCCTGTTTTCTAGGGCTTTTTAATAAATCTTGCATTGAACCTTTTCCATTTTTACAAGAAACTTGGCCTTCATAGAATGGTAACATTCCCAGGTTGCTAGGTTGAGGAATGTTTCTAACCACTGTGCACTGACAATGTCAAGTGACTTCTGACTTGCCTGTTTTTGAGTAAGTTACAATTGATTCGATGTCACGAAATTATTGTTGTGTCAAATACCAATTTTGAGATCCTTTCTCGGAGAAGTTAGTTATTGAACCGCTTTTAAAACTCTTGCTTTGTGTCGTTTACCTGCCACCAGAAGGAGATATTCTTTTCGTTTTAGTTGTGCTTGGTGATTTTCTATCTTCTCTTTTAAGTTGACCACGTTCTTCTGCAGCAAAGCGAGAATTTTGTCATCCATTTTTTTCAGACACTCCTCGGTATCGGAGTAAGCCTTAAGTAAAGCTTGTCTTTTCCAGGCATCTTCATCTCTTGCTTCTGACAAAATGGAAAAGGCCTAAAACATGAAAGCAAAACCAATTCATGGCTCAAATCAAGCGTGTCCTTTAATTGTATTTGATTCTTTCAGTCTCTCATACCGGCGCAATTCAGTAATTTTGATACTGATGTTTATGCTTGTTACATGTAATACTACATCATTAGGAACTCATTGTTTTAGCTTTGATAGGAATTACCGACTTAGTGAATTCTCCTACGCGCAAAACCCCCGCAGTAAAGGGTTAATGCATGTATTGTCACCTGGCGAGCGGAGCGATCGACGTGTCCCATTGAGAACAGTTGC